CCTAAAAAAAGAGAAAATGTTTTCTTGAAAACCTAGGAACATACGTAATTTCAGAATCTCACATTAATCGGTATTAGCTCCCCCACAGGCTAGTATGCCTGACAGTTGTTATTACTTACGCAGTTGTGTTCATTTACAATCACAAGAATTCTTTACGTTCATATGATAAACTACCTCGGAAACCTCTGTTGATCCAGTGTTGTGCCCACTCCTTTTTCTTTTCTTCACCAACATATATAAGAACAATAAGGTTCTGCAAAGGCTGAATTCCAGATGCGATCACTTCACAAATCTCTCGGACCTAAAGAAATGCAAGAATAAACATACACAATTTTTATTAGATGTAAAGTGTGTTAAAAACCCCATAATACAAACACAAAAGACCAAGACGATGTATTCATCCTTTCTTAATGATGTCTGTCTCAATTTGAAAGGATGTTGAATCTGGCAAGAGTGAAGAAGGTTTTGCCACAGAACACCCAACCCTGGTAGAAAGATCAATGGATGATGATCCATATTACACCTTTCCAGTCAGAACATCAGAATTTTCTGCAACCATGAAGTGTATGGGATTTAAATATCTCCACCGCTCTAATGTGCAAAGTTTTCAATTTCTACGCCAATGCCATCATTATTGTCCATATCTAGCTCTTCATTTACCACAACAGTAACAGCATCTTGATCAACACAGCGTAAACTATTATATCATCTTTTCAATCAAGAAGGGCCAGACACATTAAAGTGTGATGTGATGATGCAAACTACTGAATCCCAGTAATATATAATTATATTCAAATTTCCAAGGAGTTTGAAATATTTATACCTAATGGCATAAGATGCCAGACAAAGAAGCATTCAGTAATTTCTTGCCATAGTTTGCAGTGACCAGCAGTGATACATGTTCCAAGAAATCACAAAAAACAAGAAAAGAAATTCTGCTGATCATGTATCGACACATGACTGAATGAACATTTTTAGTGTTTCTATTACATATCAACATATAATGAAAAAGGGTTAACATGGATTTAATGTGGATAAAGAATGTGAAATTATTCATACCTTAGCTCTCTTGTGAACATCCTGTGGCATCAGAGGTCTGGAAGGTCTGGTTTCTTCAAGATAATGCATAATATTGAGCTGAAAGAAACACAGAAGTTAAAACATCACCCTACCCTGCAAACAGATTTGATGGAAGTATGTATAATACCAAGACAACTTAAAGATCCATTTCCACACATACTAGCTGCTATACATTTGAAATTTATATGACCCTTTAAAGCTGAAGCTTGTCAAAATAATATTCGAGAATTCAGTCGATATCTGAAAGAAATTCACACTTCTCTATTACAAAGATCAACTGGTTAATGCTGCTAAAGGAAATAATCCCTTGAAAATCATACATAATACATAAATATGAAATGCAACATTACTAATTGTTAAAGCAGATAATATATATATTACCATTCCACTTCAAGGGTAACTTAATTCAGTAAAGGATACGAGACCATTACCCTAAATTATACTGCATTTTGTAAAAAACAAACTTCATAAAATTATTATTTTTTCAAGCCATCACTAGATTTAATGTGTTCTTTGACTATTACTTACTGACTCCACTAACGTGTGTCCATCAATGTGAAGAGCAGGCACCTGTTCCATTGGGTTTATTTCACGGTATTCATTACAGTGTTGCTCACCACCAGCCTTTATCAAACTTACAGGTTTGATGTCATATGGTATCTCCTTTAAGTTCAGAGCTGCATACAAATGGCAAAAGTAAAAATAATCTCATTTGTACAACTACATATCAGTATACACCTTAATATACTGATCTGTTTTACTGATTGTTCATATTACGTACTACTAATCAGAAATGATAGTCTGGTAATGAATAGAGAGCTACGTGTGGGTTCGGACAGAAACGGTCTCTGTTACTGTAAGGTAGCTCATAACAGAACAAAGTATGTTGCACAAAACATCATTTCATACAGTAAACTACATGCACTATTCTTTATACAAAAATTATGTTCCCAGCCGAATTCAACAAAATTTACGTGGCTTCCGCAGTTTGTATTGATAAATTCCCAAATGCACAATCATCAACAAGATAAACAATCCATAAATTCAAAAAATTGTTAAACGAAACTAGCAGAATTGTTGATTTAAGAAAAAGTATAATACACCTTGTCACAACTAAAGAAAATTTGCAAACACTTGTACATACTTTTGTTTAGAGTCCTTCAAATTAAACTTGAAAACATTCCAATATATGTATAATATTGCAGTGTAGCATTCAATGAATGCCGCATACTCTACACTAAGATGTTCCTAACAGATGGTATTTTTTGTGATAAATCAGTAAATTGACGTAAGTACATGTACTAGAATAAGAAGAACTCAAATCAGCTGCAAAAACAAGAGCAACAAACTGGTCCAAGATATGGCATGAAGGCACAGTCAGCCTCTATTTCTTCAGTGGCCACACTTGCAATTTCTACAAACAATGGTGATAACTAAGCTTGAATAAGACCACTATTTACACAAGGAGATTTAGAAGTTGAATGAATTTACACTCCATTATGGGAGCAATGTTTATTCATTTCTCCAGAAGCAGATATGGCACCATGGTACAGTAGAGGCCTCTATGATACCCTAATCTTATACCTCGTAATGTATCATAAAAGACATCATACAAAAAACTTGCAATGTCCACCAAATGAAGGATCTGATATGTCAAGGAACTGAGACCTTGAGCACTAACAAAAAACTCTGTACACCAATTTGCTATTCAATGGTTAACACATGCCATATTTAATGTAACAGAAACAATTTAAACCACTTAAGTAATCAGTGTTATACATAATCTTATGCTAGTTTTCTTATCTGAGTATTTTCATGGTGAACAAAATATGAATAATATGTGTCATTCTACATATCTCTAAATTTTGTATGGAATATGAACATACCAGTTTTGGAGGTTATGATTAAAAACTTTATGTTACTATATCAAGTCACATTTGTTTTATAAGGGGGACTAGCTATAGAAATCTGCTTAAACATAAATTTACTTACCTTATAAAATTATGAAATGGCTAGAAGTAACCAATCTTTAAAGTAAAATTGTTTATCTTACTTATGCAATCAATATTCTCTGTTATAAATATTTTTCCCCTAAAGATCTATGTATTATTTCTTGAATATGTTATCACTAGCAGTCCTATACAAATGCAACTGTTAAAACAAGTTTGTTATTACTGTAACTGGAAACACATTTGCTGGCTTAATGATAATTACATTATATAATGGTCAATGAATTAACAGAGATAAAGCTTATTTTGTACCACTGGCTTATGAAAACCATACTGATTTATGCATAATAATGTCACTTAGACACGTTGTGAACTGCCCTATCTAGAGTGTCAAATTAAATACAGCATAAATTATTACAAATGAGTTCAGAAATGTAAAAAATGGTCGTACCCTATTTCAAAATTCTGCTTTAGGACCACATATAAATAAACGCACATGTACATAACTTAAGTCAAAGCTATATAGTCTGAGCCACTGAAGAAGTGTTGTTAAATAAACTATAGATAATAAAAAAAGAACTTAAGAAATTCTAATATTTACATGATATAATATTTAAAAATAGCATATGGGAAGGGGAATTAAGTCTCATATTCAATAATATTTAGTCATCAACAGTCCAACATATAATACATCAATAAGTTACATTTTCTATAAGAATGTATTTACCCTATACTCACCTATTCTGACGCGCCAGGAGCAAGAGCTTCTCCAATATGAATACAGAACAGGCTGTAACACAGAAAATAAAATTTACCAGTGTAAATAGTATTTATAACAGAATTAAGCATGCAGTACTTCTACAACTTGGTATAAGAACAGAAAACAATCTTAACAGTTCCTTTGTGAATGTGAAAGTTCAAGTATTTAGGTATAAAAAATCATAATTAAATAAAGAGAATAAATTTTGGAAATACACAGAAATGCTTATCTTCTCATCTTCATTCCAAATTGCTAATGGTTAATGAACATAAATCTTTAACACTAGCATAATGGAGCAATGTCTCTGAGAAACTAATAGTTTCTTAGCCAATAAAAAATTATCCGCCTTTTATAAAACCCAATAAATCATTAAAATGTTCACAGAATATTAAATTTTTCATACTGATGCTGTTGCTTACGTATGTGAAATTTGGTCTCTTTGTCTCGGAGGAAACCAAGACTTTCAAATATATTTGGAAATAAATGCTAATGGCAACCTGGACCTAGAAAAGATGAACTGAGGAATGCATAGCAAGGATTATTCAAGCACTATATTACCAATGTTTTATTGTGTACTGTACATGAATACAGAATTTCATAATCAGGCTTGGGTTTATCAGCTTATTACATACTGCCTGCTGAAGGAAGAAACTACACTATCATCTTATTTGTGGTTTATTTAATGATGCTGCCAGAATCACAGATCATACAGTGTTCAATGATGATACAATTACAGAGTGATGAATTGGAAAAGATAGGACAAAGTGGTTGTCAGTGGTGAGGAAACGACTAACAAGCAGCCACCAAAGTTGCTGCTGGGATGGCTGCACAAGGCCATTCAATTTCTTGCAAGAGCTATTGAAGTGTTGTTGACTTTGTGCTGTACACTGCATCCTTCAAGTAACACCATAAAAAAGTCAGGTGGGATTAAATCTGGCAATTGTGGAATTTACTCAATTGACCCTTCACCATTTTGCATATCTGAAGCACGGTACACGATAAAGTAGTGCCATTAGTTACGTATAGTCCACACCAAGTCATCCTAGCAACACAACACACGGAGACTAGAAACACGATTATTATTCCGTACTGTAACGTGAATACATGATTTTGGGGCACCTTGTAAACACATATAATTTGGATAAAACGTGCTAAGGAGTTTGAATCCCAATTTTGTAGAAGATGTAAAAATACAAACTATACATTTTTGTAGAACAGAATAGAATAAAAGTTATTTACATTCCATAGATCCTTCATAGGCCTAAGCCAAGGATGTAGAACAGGTCATAGCACAAATGCAACACTTGTTTCTAGTACAAATATAAATATATAGTTATAACAGCTATTTACAGATTTTTGGAACTACAGTATTACAGCAAAATAATCATGAGAAACCATCACCATTGTTACTTACATGTATTTATAAATTCTTCTACTGATTAGGAGTGAGATAGGAGATACTCTTTTAACGCTTGCTTAAACATTTTTATATAGTGATTTAAACTTTTGATAGGTGGAAGATGAAAGTAAATGCTGAATGCGAATGACAAACATGACCACATCCATTCTGATACTGGATATAAGAGTAAACGCATTTGTGAGTTCGCTATTCCGAGTCGTACAATACATAAGAAAAACAAAGGTCACACACAACTGGATTAACCTAACATATATCAAGACTGCATTTACTCAAATACACTTAATACTCAGCTGTCAAAGTTGTAATAACATCTTTACATTTACTTGGACATTTAAATGAAAAACTGTAAATAACATATAAAATATAACAGAATCGTAGATCAGAAATGAATAGCTTTTTTCGGCTCGATTTTGGAGGTGTTCACAATAACGATTTTAATATAGCGCGGCAAAATTGTACAGAATACAGAAAAACCAATGTCAAAATACGGTACTCCTGTGGCATAACTTAACTTTCTTACCTTGCCTATTACAGACATGGTTTCTTCAATGTGTTTTCACTTTTAATCTGAATCTGAGAAAAAAGTATATTCAATACAGGTACAAAACAATTCTGGCCAGACGCTAGATCAGTACACAATCATACACTTCCCAAATGCTCGGCGCAAATACTTGCAAGTTGTTGATTGCAGCGCTAGGGATGTTATTCTGCAGAAGCTTTTATTAAAATAGTTGAAACATGAAAAGCGAATGAAGTACGTTAAACAGCTGATTACCGTACTGTCAACTTAAACCATAGAATTACTTAACACATGAAGCACACTGAAGAATGTCGTTCATAATAAATTATGCTGGCTAACCTGTAGTGAAACGTGTTGATGTGTAGGTCGTTTTTGGTTTAAAGTAGAATGTTTGTTTACCGTTATAGGTTATCAATAGCTACTTATTTTTAGAAGAATAATTCAAGCACACTAATTTCATGTGGGCAAAGGAGTTAGTATTTGACTTCGGTACTACCTTCAAATTCTGATCAGTACATTCAAATACAGTCCTGTACTGAAAATGGAAACTCTCCAGAAAGTCAGTGAAGTAACAAAAACTGTTAAGAATAAATCAAGAGGAGGGTTGGAAGATAAAAAAGATAGGTAAGATAATCAATAAAATCTTCTTGGGCAGGGGCATGGCATCAGAAGACTAATTTTTTAATGACCACTGCGATCATGAGAGCTTTATGCAAGAGAGATGGAATCAGGATAGTGACTAAAATAATGAGGATATCTAGCTCTCCTGTTATTTCATGAGGATTCTGCCTCCTGTTTTGCAGAAATAGTCAGCTGAATTGGTGGTTAGTTTTTGGAGCAGTCTTACTGTTAACAGCATGGAGCAGATTCCATAAAGTTTCGGAACCTGATCATGTTTGGTGAGTAAGATTATACTGTTTATTTCACAAAATAAAGAATAAGAAAAAGCTCTTTCCAAGAAATAACAATGATAAAATTTATATTGTGTTTCCTTACCTGGCTGTTTAATGGTTTATTACAACTTCACAAAATATTTTCAGTTGGGATGAAACACATTTTGGCAAGATGGGAAGTTGGTACATCAATCGAACATTTTTCTTTGATGTTCATCCTCCTCTGGGCAAGGTGAGTCTTTCTTTCAGGAGTCTGTGAGTTGCTTAATGTGTGATGACTATAATAGAAAAATTTCTAATGTGAGTCAGATATATCTATATTTTATGCTGAGTGGAATTAGTTTTATGTGAGTTATTTACCAAATTCTTGGTACCAAACCTCTGTGAAATCAATAGGTGCTGAATAAAAGCCATAATTTGTTCTAGATTCACATATGTTGGCAATTGTGTTATTGATGGTGATGGTGGTGGTGTTCATGATCTTGATATAGCGTGAGTGCACGTTTTATAGGTCTTATATTAAAACTGCTTGTGACTTTGTTCAATTTTCTCATCCTAATAATATTTATAGACATGGGTTAATGGAAACAATAGTGATTGCTAACTACAATATGTATCTTTTAATTTATTCTACAGACACATTATTATGCAAAAGCTGCCATAATGTTGTAAATAGGAAACATCTGGAACAATAGAGCTTTTCAGTCTGAAAGATTTGTGTAGTATCAATATCAGATTGTGGTTGGGAATTACCATGTACCATACTGGAAAATCAGTGTCACTGGTGTCATTTGTAAAAGTCATATATCATGTTTTGATGAAACAAACAGCTTTCCATAACTATTTACACTACTTATGCAACAACACTTATAAATGTAAAACACAGAGGTTATAACATAGTGAACTCAACATAATTGTTACACTGCATGCATTTTCTGAGTTGTTATAATTAATTTGTTTCCTTTATAATTTTTCAGATGCTGATTGCCTTGTCTGGTTACCTCACAGGTTATGATGGAAGGTTTGCTTTTGAGAAGCCTGGTGACAAATATGAAAGTGTAAATTATGTGGGCATGAGAGTGGTATGTTAAAAATAATTATGTATTTGTTTAAATGAAAATTAACTGGGGAAGTATATTAATCAGAATGTATGAATAAAAGCTACACCTGTTACAGTAGAAACATTAACAAGATGTTTCACCATGGGCACAGAATGTTATCAAATCTGCTGTGTGATTTTTGCTTCAACTTTTACAACAGTTCTCTAAATTCCAATGAATGTATGGCTTATTTGCTATATGAATGTACTAAGTTAAATGGTGCATGTTAAAGTAAGTTTCATTATCAACTTTGGGGCCCACCCAAGCAGGGTACCATGGCGTCTTTCAAGAGCTGAGTCATGAAACTGACCACGCCACTCAACTGTATCAAGTACCAAGCTTAAGAATGAATAAAACTTTATATTTATGGCAGGAGTTTTAACATGGGGACAACTTTACCATTTTTTAACTTCACTTGAAAACTTATAGGAATTCTACATTTAGTTCATTGAATAGTCATCAGATCAAAGTATGTTAATATAATTGTAGATGTCCCCTGTAAAACTGATCCAAGCAAGTTAACTATCACAATGAGTGGCGAGCTTTTGATATAAAATAATCACTGAATATAGCTAATGCATCTATGTTTTATATTGAATTTTAATAATGTAAACTGTAAGCAGTTGGGTAAGAGACAGGGGATGTGCATGTCACTTGTACTGGCTGTGTCGGAAGGAGCTTATTTGAATTTATTATTGCAAACTGAGTTTTCCAAAAATATATTACTATGACAGAATTGTCTTTCTTGTAGGTAGTATTTATCTTAAATTTTTGTTGTAGCTCAGATGTGCATATTGTAGGTCCAATATTATTGTAGATACTTCATGATTTATATTATCTCTTCCAGTTTTGTACTTTTTTGGGAGCCTGCATTGTACCATTTGCTTTCATTATTGTGTGGGAGATGACTCACTCTTTAACAGCAGCTACTTTCTCAGCATCATTCATTCTGTGTGGTATGTCACAAAAATTTAACTTTCTGTGCATCATGTATGCATTTCTAGTTTTAACAGACTGTCCATTTGCTCTTAAAATCATCTTTTAAACTGTTAAATAATTTTGGATGTTCATGTGCATAAACTATTAGAAACAACTGTAACTTTCCAGTTGTTTAAATTAGTGCATTTCCTCACATAATTGCCCATCAAAATTTGTGTGAAGAGGAAACAAAAAGATTTCTTCACCATTTAACTGTCTCTCCATTGCTTTGATTCAGTGGTTATTGTTTACAGTGTACTTTCCCATTTCCTTTCATTCCCCTCTCAGTGAACTGATTGGTTGATCCAGTTCCACATAAAAAGTAGATAGTTACCAATGTTTCACAGGAACATATTACCTGCTTCTTCAGAGTTGAAGTAAACATGTTGCTTATACAGAGGCCATATGTCATAGACAATAATATGTCTTGCCTTTTCATGTATTATGATGTTTTGGACTTCCTGTTTTCTTTCACCATAGATGTGGGTATCCTCACACTGACACGATACATACTTCTAGATCCCATACTTCTGTTCTTTGTGATGGGCTCTGTGTTGGGAATGATAAAGTTCCATTCCTGCAAAGAGAGGTATGTGAATTATATATTTATGTACATTTGTAGTATTAAGTAAACTAGAACTGAATACTCTCTTAACCTTTATCATTTGTGTGATGCAATCTATTCATAACCCAGCTATGCACACATCACACTAGCCTACCACTGAACCATTAACCCAAAGCTGAAGTCTAGCCAGCACCTCCATAATACAGGGAATTAAATCTCCTATTCCCATATGAAAAAGGTTAATGATCTAATTTGGTATGCTGTAAAAAGTATCGTCTACTAATGCAATATTCTACCTTTCATTATGTATTTATCAACCTAATGAATGTAAATTAAAACCTTGAAAATGTTCTTAGAATCTGCTTTCATACGACTGCATTATAATGTATAATAATTTTGTTTGTCTAACAGAGCATTTTCATTCAGTTGGTGGGCTTGGCTGGTGTTTACTGGAGTAATGATTACTTCAGCTATCAGTGTCAAATTTGTTGGTCTGTTTGTTGTTATCCTGGTTGGTATTCATACCGCAGCTGATTTGTGGGATGTGTTGGGAGATCTCTCCAAGCCAATTGTAAGTAACATTTAGATCATGATGACTGTCTGAAGTACACATAATTTTCCATTTTATGACTGGGCCAAACATGTCTGTTGTGTGACTGTTTTGCTGTGAAATGACATGTTTCTCTTGGCTTTTGTTTAAATGTTATGTGTGTTCATTTCACACCAATTTCCATCTCTCATTCATATTAACAATTTGAGAAAGAAAGTCTAAGCAGGTGACACTTTTATGACTTAATGGGTAAATGTAAATTAAAAAGTTGGAAGTTATAAACAAGTGTCAGCACATCCCTGGAAGATAAACATTTTGAAAACTTTTCACTTAGCTTATCAGAAAAAAAAAAAATATAATATTTAATTTATATTTTAAGTTTATTTTACTAAAAATTATGAAGCAATGATCTGGGTTGAGCAAGTATTTGCCTAGTTCACAAGACAAATAAAGAAAATAACTCTTTAGGTGACTATACATAAGAAAATGCAAAATGTATGTATGAAATATACTGATATTATTGGCATAGCACCCCACTTGTTGGCCATACCTCTTATGGATGACTAAGTGAGCATATTTGTTCAACCTTTTGACAATGACAGTTTTCTGTTTCATCTAACATTATCATTTGTTTCAGAGCTACACTTTCAAACATTTTTTGGCCAGGGCAGTGTGCCTAATTTTCCTACCTGCTGTTTTGTACATCATCATTTTCTACATCCATTTGCTTGTGCTTAGCAAAAGGTTAGGAACGGGAATGTACTCATTAAATTGTTTCCAGCGTGCATTCCTCATTCTGTAAAATGAGAGTGTATCATGAGGTCTCATGTGTATGTGTTCGTGCATGAGAGAGAGACACTGAGACCCTCTTCTATTAACTTACAAACATTCAACTGTTCTTGATTACATTAATTATGGAAGTTATTTTACAAAGGAAGATAATTTGTCATACTATTGTAACCATAAAAGCAACTGATTTGTGTTTGACATTATGAGTGCAAACCTGTTATCTCCGCATTTAAATAAATGACTGTATTTGCTCACAAAATTGCCTCTCCCTTTCTTTATACTGCAGTCTCCAGTTTATTCCTACTCTCCCTCTTATGAATGAATCCAATCAACTGCTCAGAAATAGCCTTTGTCTACTTCGTATTCAAAATTATTATGGCTCTCAGCAGTTGGGACATTGTGTTAGCAATATGATGCAGCTGAATGGAAGCCAAGGTACAAAACAGAAAGACACTGTGAAGTAATGAGAAAATAAATTGTTTGTATGGAGACAAAATACCAGTAAATATTTTAAAATTGAATTATTGCTACACTTCACTCATTTGTATATGACCACTTGTGCATAATAAGCTGAAGATTATATAATCTTCATCTTTGTTTTAATTAAAGAAATAATTTGCAATGAATTGGCATATATGTGATTAAATACAGTATTTTAAAATTAGGAAAGCTCATATGCTACAATTATTATAGACTCGTTGGTATATATTCTGTCTGCTTTAAGAAGTATATGTTATTTCTTTACATAGTTAAAATGTTAATTCATTAGTATTATTTAAAACTCTCTGAATATTGTGATAATTGGCTTTGATTTTCTTCATGTTACAGTTTTCACAGCTTGAATAATTTCATGTATTTCACTCTTCTTCCAGTGGTAATGGAGATGGTTTCTACAGTTCTGCTTTCCAGTCGCAGTTGGAAGGAAACTCTCTGTATAATGCCAGTATGCCAAGAGGTGAATATTATAGAGTTCCAAAATTTTAGTGATTAAAATAATGTATGCAAGTTACATACAGTTTATGCTGCTAAGGGAGATTCTTTGATCTCTGCCATGTTCATTGTTTCTTTTTATGTCTTTGATAGGCTTAAACACAGAAAATTGTAATGAGCCTTTGACTTCCTTAAGAACAGGGAATTTCTTGACCAGTTCAGTAACTGCCTGTAATATGAAGTTAATGTTATTTCTATAGTTTCTAATGCCCCATTTTATATGACTCTGTGTGTGTTATTTTTTAATTCGATAACTTGATAACTCTTATCACACCATCCAAAGTCCATACCACCTGATTTGAATTTTATTCTGATTTTCGAATAACTTGGATTGAGTCTGCATCATTTTTACCTTACTGATTATGTTTCTTATATGCATTAAGTTAGCCCTATTAGTCTGTTCCAGCAACTTATGATGTGTTTGTTGTTTCATTTTTTCAAAGTTGCAGTTACTATCACTAGAAAAGAATTGTGAGAGATCAGTTTATCTTTCCTCAGATAAACCTTCTGACTATTTTAGTGCCCATTTTAAAAATTTTCATTTCATATTTTGTGTGGTTTTTCGTCTTTGTTCCCGAAAGCTACATACTTCTGTATGTACTTCTGAATTTTCTAATTTCTTTCTTATTGTAAGTTTCATCACAATTATTACACTACTACCAGTAATTTCACTAGTACTGAAGCAAGACATAATTGTGATAATTCAAATACAGAACAATTCCAATTATCTGAACATTAAGAATCTGTAACATGAATTATGAAAACGCAGTTATATTGTTCAACAGATAACTTTAGAAACAGACTTTTCCAATATTTCATTTTCTATTATTATGTCAGTAGTACATACTTCTCTGTTTCCTGATAGAGGTAGCATATGGTGCAGTTATAACACTGAAGAACCACCGTACAGGGGGAGGCTACTTGCACTCACACTGGCACCTGTACCCTGAAGGGGTGGGAGCAAGACAGCAACAGGTAGGTTTTGCTACGTGTTGTTAGGATTCTGGCTGACATCATGTCACTGACACAACACTAGTATCGGTACCTTCAGAGGTAATTTAATTTATTTTAGGAAGTTCTCATTATTACATATTTCACTTGCATTAAAGGTAATGTGGATTTGATTAAGCTGACTCATGATGGAGTCAAGGGAATGACTGCTTTGTCATGAACTGTGGTTTAAATGTTTACTATAAAATGTATATTTAGTTTTACAAATATATATGTGTCTTACCATGTTTTCATGCATGATATAAAATTTTTACTTAGGTGACAACTTACACACACAAGGATGATAATAATCTGTTCCTAGTGAAGAAGTACAATGCAGAGCTGGTAGATGATGAAGATGTAGAAATTGTGAAAAATGGAGACCTTATCAGACTAGAGCATATCAGTACTCGAAGAAACATCCACTCCCACAGAGAGATGGCACCCATCTCTAAGAAACATTATCAGGTTACTGGGTATGGAGAGGTTCGTCTGTAACATTGTATTTATATATCACTTTTCATAGTGTCTTGCAATATATATAGAATTATAATGTTGAAATAAGTAAATTTTCAGGTTTATAAAATATTTATTTGCTGTCCATCTCCCTAATAAACACATAGGTAGTAATTACTTTATAATGAATTTAAAGTAATTTTAAATTTAGTAAAGAGAAAACAAGTGACTCTGAACACGAATATGTAATTAAGGTTTTTCATGTCTGACCAAATAATTTTGAAATGTAATTTTATAAACCCAAGTTTGCATTATGAGGTGCATGACATAAAGCAGTGAAGCAAAGATATGTTAAATTCTCGTGTATCACAGCAAACAGTATGCCAGTAAGAACACAGCAATAACTAATGATAACCTCAACAGAAATGTTGGTATTCAAGTCTGATGTATTATATTACACATAAGGAGGTGGGGATGAGTAGTGTGTGTTCTCATAAAGATGATGTCAGTTATGGTCTTCTGGGTTGCAATACTGTGTGTGGTCTTACAGATGATTAACAATGATTCAGAGGAACATACCACCCACCTCCATCTCAGTTCATCCTGGAGATGAAGGTGATATGCTGTTGTTTTAAACAAAACTGCTTTGCATTTTATATTGTTTCTTACATTCCAGAATGGTACTGGAGATGCAAATGATGTCTGGAAAGTTGTGATTGTGGGTGGTAGAGATGAGGAACCTGTAACTACAGTTTCTAGCAAACTAAAATTCATACACTACCTGCAGCACTGCGTTCTCACTTCAAGTGGAAAACAGCTTCCCAAATGGTGAATATACATTATTTAAAAATATGTCAGAATAATTATGTTTTTGTATTAAGTGGCACTTTATATCTAGAACATCCATATTCAAAATGGCACACCACGCTAGATGGTTTTATCTTTGTGTAATCCAGATTTAAAGTGCAGAAAGTTTGCAGTACTGTCAAGATATTATGCACGTCTAGTATGATTTGTTTCAGGGCATATGAACAACAGGAGGTGTCTTGCAATTCCAACATGAGAGACAAGAATGCCCTATGGAATGTGGAAGATAATATTTTTCCAAAATGCAAGTTTCTTTATGTATTACTACTACTAGTCGTTCTACAACAGTGGTCCCCAACGCTGTGCCCGCGCACCTCCATCTCAGTTCATCCTGGAGATGAAGGTGATATGCTGTTGTTTTAAACAAAACTGCTTTGCATTTTATATTGTTTCTTACATTCCAGAATGGTACTGGAGATGCAAATGATGTCTGGAAAGTTGTGATTGTGGGTGGTAGAGATGAGGAACCTGTAACTACAGTTTCTAGCAAACTAAAATTCATACACTACCTGCAGCACTGCGTTCTCACTTCAAGTGGAAAACAGCTTCCCAAATGGTGAATATACATTATTTAAAAATATGTCAGAATAATTATGTTTTTGTATTAAGTGGCACTTTATATCTAGAACATCCATATTCAAAATGGCACACCACGCTAGATGGTTTTATCTTTGTGTAATCCAGATTTAAAGTGCAGAAAGTTTGCAGTACTGTCAAGATATTATGCACGTCTAGTATGATTTGTTTCAGGGCATATGAACAACAGGAGGTGTCTTGCAATTCCAACATGAGAGACAAGAATGCCCTATGGAATGTGGAAGATAATATTTTTCCAAAATGCAAGTTTCTTTATGTATTACTACTACTAGTCGTTCTACAACAGTGGTCCCCAACGCTGTGCCCGCGGGCGCCCTCCAAGGCTTTTTTTGGGTGCCCGCGTTGTTACGGAAAGAGGTTATACTGAATAATGAAGGCCGTTCAATCATGAACATTATAAAATCAAAGCGCAGATCTCAACTTACCGATGCCCATCTTGACGATCGTTTGCAAGCAGCAACATCATCCTACACTCCCAATTTTGAAAAACTGGCCGATGAAATGCAGCGCCAAACATCACACTAACTTCCCACTTGAGTAATAATAAATATACTTCTAAAACTACGTATTTTTGATTGCATGGTTTCTTGTATCATTAAACGGCGTGTTGTTTTACGTATTATTTGGTGTCCATATCTTATTTGTCCAGAGAAAAGAAAATTTGGCTTTGTTAATTGGTTGGTGCCCGCCACGATCTCATAAACTCTCAAATGTGCCCGTAGGCACAAAAAGGTTGGGGATCACTGCTCTACAACCCATTGTGGGTCTTGGCAACCCCCTTTCGGAGGTTTCTTAGTCTTTGAAGTGTGCATTTGTGAGTAGTGAGTGACCAGCCCACTGACTGTGCACAATTTATACTCAATCCTGATTTGACTGCGAGATTTTCCCAATCTTTCTAATGCGAAATTATGAAACACAACACACTTAACTGTGCTGTGACACACTTCCTGTACTTGATAAGTTTGGTTAATGGGTTAGCTGATTACAGACTGTTGTTGCAGTGCCCAATGTGAGTTTCACAGTATATGCTCCCAGTTTCCTAGAGAGGTTCTTTGAGTCTCATGCTGTTATGTTCCAAGGCAATGCAGGTCTTAAACCCAAGGAAGGAGAGGTGACATCAAGACCTTGGCAGTGGCCTGTCAACTACCGGGTAATGTAGCATAAAATAACTTAAGGTGAAGAAGCCAGAGGTGTATGTGAATTGATATTAAATAATCAAGGATGTTGACAAAAGGGAAAAGATTCAAGGCAAATTGGTGAAGCATAATATGAATTCATTTAAACTGAAGTGCATATTTCTTGGCCACATCCTATTGAAATTAAAGAGGTTTTACTGTGATTTCCTTGCACTTACATACTCACATGATTTTTATATTTACAGGGTCAATTTTTCTCTGGCAATAGTTACCGGATATATCTCCTTGGGAATCCAGTGATCTGGTGGGGTAATGTGGTGTTTTTAGCCACATTTCTCATAATTTTTGCTTGCAACTCTGTAAGAGAACAGAGAGGTTATCATGATCTTCCATCAGTTAAAGGTCAGTTACAGATTAAATACAATGTTTTCAGTGTATTAATTGTTGATAATAAAGTCAGTGATACAATTATAAATATTTTTAGCATATCATTAGGGTGATAAAGTGAAAGAAAATTGAGATGGTCAGGACCCTTATATCACATTTTGCATTTTTGATTTTCTATATTTATTTGTGTAATATTTCATGTCACTTTCAAAATCCACAGTTTCCTCTTTATTCACCATTTTTACAGTTACATGTTTGAAACATCTTGGTTTTTAGTGCTGAACATTTGATGTAATTGTCTCATATATTGGCTTCACAATGTTAGTTCTGTTGTTTCTCTTGTAAGAGAAGCCATGTTGTTATATGGTATCTATGTACTTTGCAGAATTTTGTTCTTAGACAATGGATTGTACATAATTTGAAAAATGGAATGGACAGCACAAAATGATCTTGCAGTGCATGACCTAAAAGTTTGTTATGAAATATAACTTAATGATCTATCCACTGTGGTTTAATTTTCATGCTTCTGTCTGCTTGTTTGTTTGAGTAACGAGTTTCTGAACTAGTCATTGGCTTCAAAACTGTTAATGATACACATGGCAAAGGCATATTGATATAATTCCTGTCCTAAATGTATTTAGTACATTAGGAATATTAATAAAACAATTACATGCAATATTAAATGTTATTTACAATTTTGTAACCTGTGATTTGTTGCAGAGAGCAAGCACAGAATGTCTAGTGCTTGTGGCTGGCTCTTCCTGGGATGGGCTTTACATTATGTTCCATTTTGGGCAATGGGCAGAGTTCTGTATTTCCATCATTACTTCCCAGCTCTACTTTTCAGTTCCATGTTAACAGGTGAACATACAGCCAGTTTTTCGCCCCTTATAATACCAGAATTTCATGATACCTACAAAGCATCTCTTGGTATATAAAATTAATTTTATTCTGTATGAAATGAAAAATTCTGATTCGTATAACCAGAAACAGTACACAGTAGAAGCATACAGGTTTAATTGTCATGCAGGTAACCCAAAAATCATGAAGCATAACTCTCCATGACTCATTCAAGATTACTGGAATCCTGTTTGAATTTATGCACATAACCTTGGGCAGCTTCTGTCTTAATGTGTTTTTTTTAAGTTATATGGGTATAAAATGTGGTCTGTCACTCCAGGGGAAGAACACAGATTGAAGGCATTTTATAACAGGATACTGAAGAGAATGTTTGCATCTATGTGAAAGAAAATAACAGGATGCAGAAAATTACACAAGAAGCTTCATAATTTGTATTACCAAACACTGTATTTATCAAAAGGAGAGTGGGGTATGTGGTATGCATGGAGAAGAGAAATTCACATAAAATTTCAGTTGGAAAACCTGACATATGGAACTTGTGAAACAATTATGTGTTTGCAGGAATAATCTTGAACTACATGCTCGAGAGCATTCCTCAGTTTCTACCAGAGAGGCTTGCCAGCAGCACATACCACTGGTTCATAGGTGTTATTTTCTCTGTAACTATTTACAGGTAATAGATGAAACCTATATAAGTTCAGAGTTCCCTTCTGAAATTCAATTATATTTTAAGGTCGCATGTAATGTCTTTAAGATTTGTACCCCAATATGGTCACTTCAGCTGTGTTATAAACAGATATAAAACTGCCACTTTATTATTCAGATATAACTTTTTTCTGTATAATTTCCATTCCCACCAGCTTTCAGTGTAGATATGACATTCAGAATGTAAGATTTGAGGTTTTCACAGCGGTGAGTATGAAGATTTCTGTCTTCTGGGTTGTTGCGCTGTGTAGTCTGGTAGATGTTTACCAACGTTTCAGAGGTCATACTGCCTCCATCATCAGAGTATGAAGATTTCTGTCTTCTGGGTTGTTGCGCTGTGTAGTCTGGTCGATGTT